CTAGGCGTTATATCATGCCATTCACCGATTAAGCCAACCCCGATGCATTCGATGCTCATTACAATGGATATTTAAGGATGATGAAGGTGAATCTATATGAATTTCCGACCACTGCATGAATGACTAGGAGGAAACGGGCCTTCTGAAGGAGTTCGATATCTTTAAGCCACAAACTAAGTAACAAAGGATAGAATTAGAGGTCATTTAGATTATGAACAGAACCTGCTTTGCTATTTGATCTGGTGGAAACAGAAGAGTGTGAGGGTGCAAGTAAATGCCTCCGTCTATCACGCTGTCAAGGCGCTGAGAAGGGAACGAGTCTTCACAGTCCTCGCATCTCACGCCAAACTCAGCTAATAAGTGATTCAAAAACACCAAATTTTTACTAGACATTCAGTTACTAGGTCCTTCTGTGTTAATCTACTGATACACAGTTATTGTTGCTACTACTTATTTTACCTTCTAAATATTGGTAAACATACTACTTAAATAATGCAAGCCCCTTGAGATTACACAGATTTCTCCTGTACATTTCAGATGGCATTAACAAGCTTCGTTCTTAAAATTGAGACAAAACTAGGAATTATTGTGCCATTATTTTGGTTCCGTCAAGAGCATACTAAAGAAAAAAAAAGTATTACAAGAACAAACCTCAGCTAGGTAATCTTCAAAGAGGTACATGACTTTTTGAGGAGCTCCAGCACATTTAATAGGTGTGTGAGGCAGAGTGAAGATGGCTGTGCCTTGATTAAAGTGTCGAAATGCATTAAAAGTCTTCTCCACATAGTTTGCGGAGTAGTTGGTGCACACTCGAGCATCCTCGTCCAAGGCCGCCTTCGCACCTTTGATCTGAGACAAATAAAGTGAGCGAATGAGCTGTAAATTGTCTATGAGGTGATAAACTGATACTAACAATACCAACTACTGAGTGTAAACAGGACTAGTGCTTACAATCTATGCAGTAACAAGTGACAACCGTGAGCCATGAAGTCAACCTCAAGATGCCAATCAGAATGACAGCAGTGACAAAGTGAATGGAAGGTGTATCCAACCAGGCGTCTTGACAGTTTTCAGTGAAGCAGACCACGCTAAAAATTAGTCTAACAGAACTGCCGTGCCCGTCTTTGCGTACCCAAGAAAGCCATTAGTTCTGAAGTCCCGTCCATAGACTCACCGGATTGAAGGTCGACAGGACCCGAACCACTTACTCATGGATCCTGATTCATAACAGCCGGTAACTGCGTCTACAACCACCATGCTGAGTGCCTTTTAATCAAAGGAACGGATGTTAAATAATTCACATTAGACTGTTCTAGTTGGAGCGGAGGGCGACTCAAAATGTAAAATGTAAAACACGTTTCTATCCCTTCAACTCACACCAGTTCGGCATTCAAACCCCAAAAGAAGTGGCCTAGGTGATGCGAATAGCACAGACCATTGCATTGCAGGCCATAAGAAGTGGTGAAACAAGTCATGCGACCAAACACGCGTTTAAAATGCAAATGATACACCGACACGGTGATTTGAAAAAAGGTAGCACCAGTGAATACCTCGACCCTTGTGAGACATTAGAGGTCTCGATTTCGGTGACATGACACTTTGGTAGTGTGCCTTTGTGCCTCAGCTCGGCCTCCGATCCTTGCCAGTAATCACTAACTCTATCACCCTCGAGTATGAAGTCTCCTGTCGACCTTCGAGACGCCTCGGAACGGTGAGAAGCTGGCCTGATCTTAATAGACACCTCTCCCATTCCATACCTCTGGATGATAGGCCTTATAGGAACTAAAGAAGCAGACACACCATGAATGAGAAGGCTTGTGAAGAGCTCTACTAGAAAGCTCGAAAAGAGAGGCCCGTCTTCGACAACCATTCAACTTCCGTGGTGCTCAGAAAGGCCATGAACAAGGGATTTGACACTAGTTGGTTGTCTACGTAACTACATTAATTACCTAAGCCCACAGTACCTCCTCCAACTCTCTAAAAGCTACAAAAAAACCCGCCCGATTGCTAGAAAAAGTCAAATTCCAGGCTCACTAAAGGTGCCAAGAGGAATTGGTGATGTGTTGCGATCAAGTATGGCCTCATTTGAGTCTAAAGTTAGGGACTAGCAAGGCTGTTTCTCCTACAGCCGCGACTACGTTGTGGTGGCTGAGATGGGGGAATTGGAACAAAGGGAAGCACTAAAGACGACACGTTGTCTGCTCGGTCTCGACAATGCGGCACTTGAGGGCCGCGATCTGCGCCTCCGCAGGACAACCTCACCTTCACCTTCACCTTTTCGCCCTTAAGATGGTGTTGAGGTGTTACACTTGATCAAATCAAACACATCATCGAGGCGCCTTCGATTCATGGGAAAAGTCAACACCGATACTTACACTTCGACTTACCATTTCAAATCGCAACTTTAGACCCACACATATGACCAAATAGTCGTAGCTTATCTAAAATTAAAACAAAATAATCATCAAATGTGAGAAGGCACATTTGTCACATGAATGTCATGCCAGATGAAAGAGTGTGCCACCACTTTTAAGTTGCCGCCGACACTTTCTCACTTCAGAAAGTCTACTACGAAATACGATTTTTGATGAGCACATCTAGGCGAAAACGATTGTCTACCTTTGTTAAAGGGAAGGCGTCAAGGAACTACAATTCTGTGATAACAGGAAGGAAGGTGAATGGTGCTGATAGTGCCCTCCTTCTTGACCCAGAAGTGACTTGGGTGCCACATTATCACTCGGTCTGTTTTATCAGAACCTCTCAATCCACCGTAACAGCTCTTCAATCCTCTCACTTCTCATTCTCCCCAACTAACTGCGTCGAGATTGATGCACCAGAGACCAACTATTGTACAGACTTCTCTTTTAAAAAAAAGAAAAAGGCTATAACATCGCTACGACAGGAGATGATGGCAGTTTCGCCCCACCCTCAGGAGCCAATTCGATGACGCTATCACAGGAGGCGAAATTGTATCAAAAAAACAAAAAAACCTCAATAAATTTCCTCCACTTTACTGACATTGCATGAAATTTCCAAAAAAAAAAACAATTGCTAAAATGTGCACTAGTTGTTAAATAAAAATAATTTATTCGAATGAATTGGCAGCCTCGGAGGTGGGACTGTGGACCCAAGTGCATCAGCCAGAGGCAGACTACGGCGGATCACCCTTCAGAGAAGGTAAACAGAAGTGAAAGCACTGAGACAAAACCAATGCATATTCACCGAAGCAGCCTCGCCTCTGGGCCTTCACCGACGATTCGGAGAAGTCTGGGCGCACTGCAACGCCAAAAGTACAGCCGTTTAAGGGATCACATGACCTTGAAAGGTCAGATACTGAAACGACTCTGATGGCCGCCTTCATTTCACCATGTTTACTCAATAGAAGAAAATTAAAATAATTTCCACAGACAGGGAGACAATGATCCAGACAAGGCTTTTCTAGGCATTGCAGAAATAAAAAAGGTAGTGAAGTAGACACAAAAGTATCCAACTAGGCAATGGAAACCGTTCGACTGCCAAATAAACTCGTGAGTCCGTGCAACACTTCAACAAAAACTGCCATAAGCAGAGGTCATTCGTACATTTGACACTGCTTGCACGAAATTTACACCACTTGTAAACTTTCAACTAATGAGTTTGTTATTAAACCAAAAAAAAAAAAATTTGCCCCAATTTTTGTGGAGCTAAAAGTTCTCCCTAACTTTGTGTCGCCGGTTTGGCACAAAGTGGAGCAGTAGGTCAACTGTACTAAAAACAATTAGCAGAAGGGTAAATAGTTGAGCATTTCATTTATGAAACATTTGTTTACCATCAAATTAGTCTTAAGTAGGTGGACTTTAGGGCCACCTTCAATTCACCAACTTTTGGCATAGAGAGTTTCGTGCTCTTAGGTCGATTGTTCGCCGATAACAACGACGATAATCGTGGGGCTATTGTGATGCCCTGACACCTCGTACACTCTAAACAGAGAGGTCGGCTTCAATGCATATCTGAGCTTTGTGACAGCTAAGCAGTGTTTGCAGCGAAAATGCCTCCAACCAGTTTTGTCTGTGAATGCATTTGCGCGCCTTCTTCGCAGACACCGCCTCCACCAGTCTTGAAGCAGCTAATAAAAGGAAATTAGTGTCATACGTATTGGTAACTGTGAATGTCAAAATCCTAACCAGTCTGAACATGCGTTTCCAATGTCTCTTGGATCGTGACACCACCTGTGAACAGTCAGTCATGTCGGTGGCAACGTGATGACGTGAGTGTGTTCGGCTTCTAGCCAAGTTACAGACACTTAATGCAGTGATTTGACCGTCTCGGTGAATCTGCGTGTAGATCTTCAAGCTCTTCAGGTGGTGGAGGCTGTGCTTCCACCTCCACTTGGGACGTGTCAAGGTCCCCTTCCTCTCACTCAAGGTGCCGTGAGGACTCAGAGCACCAAAGTGACACCAAGAGAGGATCCTACTTCTTCATTACATAAATCGGAGATGAGGCACAACACGTCTTTGTCATAAAATATTACTATCCTAAACAAATTAGTAGACTTTGCGTGATTGGGTGCGAGGACGTAAATTGATAGGCTACAACCAAAAAAAAAACGACATTCAAAGTGAAGCATCAACGGCTATGAAACGAATTGAAGCAGAACTTAGTCCATAGGTGTCATGTGCTTCAAATGACTGCTCTTTGATGAGGTGTTAACTTTGACAGCTTTGCAGTGGAGGATTACATGTCAGCTTTGTTTTATGTACACAAATGTGGCACAATCTGAAAGTCAAATTAACTTCGCACACATTGAGATTCCACTTTAGAAATCTGTCTAAGTTAATGTAAAACAAAAGGTGTATCAAAAACCATTCACATCTTCCACACCACGAATAATAAATTCGAGTTGTTTAAATGCACTGCGCAGGTCGGAGGCAGGAATTTAATTGGGACGCGGTTCTAGAAGCGACGAATGGCATTGCCCTGCGGTAAGAGTAAATGTTCATCACCTTCCTTTCACTCTATTATGCTAATTAAAGCAGTTTGGAGAAGGAGAGGCTGCTGAGAAGTCCGCAGCTACACCATCCTTCAACAATTTCCCTCACATGCCGTGCTAAAGAAGAGTTTTCAATGGAGGAAGAGTCACAACACTTGGATTAATGCAAGCCACCCAGTGAGTTGCGAGTAGACATTGGCCCGAGGTGATTCTGTGATGACGTCAAACAAGTTCCAATTCTGTAGACTGACTGTCACGGCGAATGTCTATTGTAGGAGGTCATAAAATCGGAAGAGGCATTGATGAGACACAGAAAGATGAGTGGAAACATTTCCACTATCGTGATGCTACTGATTCGCTAGAGTAAATGTCGAGCAAACGAAATGGTTTAAAAAGGATGTTGAAGTTTTTTTTTTTTCAACTTTTCCATTGGAAATGCAAATTTGGTGTAGTCTGCCTCTAAAACCCTAAGAAAACTTATTTCTAGCACCTCTGCTCACTGTCAAGGCATTTAGAATGTCCAATGCTACTGACTCGAAGAGGTTGAAGAACATCACC